CCTATCCCCTGCGTGCCTTGCGCGGTGGAGCTCTCCCTTGAATTTCGCCCTGAAAGAGCAGCCGTAAAGTGCAGCGACTCTCTCTTTCTCTCTCTTAGGTCGACGAACAGCGATGGCTGTGCACCTGTGTGTGCGGCGCGAAATTTATTACCGGTTTAAATATCTGACGTGGAACGTGGCATGAAATTTAAGGCTCGTTCGGTGCTTTTACCGCGAGTCGTTCAAATAACGTTCTCCCGCACGATTATTTGATCGTCCATTGACCGCTGCACTTTCCTTGATTACCGATCGTAATCTATTAAGCTCAATTTTTTTCTCATTTCATCGGACCGGTCTCCCTGACGTCTGGGGTTGCGAGTCCAGATCTCGCAACCGCACGTCCCGGGACGTCTCGTTGCTCATTGACATTCCGCTATTTTTGCCCAACAATCGAACGAACGATGTTCGCGCGTATCGGTTTTTCGATTAAGCATGAGACAGTCTGGCTCGTCGAGGAGAAATTTAATCGAGCGTTCCCCCGCGCAGGTCGCGCCCTTTCGCGACAAGAGCGGCGCGTAGCGTCTACAACGATTGGAACATTGCTATGTATATTTAGTGTTTAATCGATATCGTCGCCACGTAGGATGTTAGGAAATTTAAAGAGAAAACTAACAATGACAGCTTCGAACGCTTCTCAAGTGTAAATATTAACCGTTAGGGACCTCGTACCATATACACACACTTTCTTCAAGCGCCTTAAGTTGGGGGGGGGGCACCAAGCAAATAATTTCGTCGCAATAATAATCGTCGTCTTTTAGGGGGCGGGAGAAAGATATCACGTACAAGCGGTTATCGTTATCGTAATAGGGCAACGGCGAACTGACGACAAAATGGCCCGAGTCGCCTTCAAAATCCACGCAGGCTCGATCTTCGATTTCGCCGCTTTTAAGGCCGACATCGGCACCGATCGTGCTCGCCAAGTTTCCTCTTCGTCGAAGGCTCTCGATAATTTTCTCGCTCAGCGGCACCGTGATCGATTCGAGCCGAGTTATCGTACCACGACACGGAAAATTCGAGTACCTTGAACCCTCTCTCGTACTTCCAGCCGCTGACAGTCCGCTCCTGGCAATAATCGTCAATTTGTCTCAAGCGAACGTGCACGTGCTCTCGGCGTGACGCGTGTCACAAGGCTAGATCAGTAATCGGTAAGAGCAAGAGAAAGACAGCGAGATAGCGGAAAGTTAGTTTGTGTAATAAAAAGAAGTTGCGCGAGTTAAGGGAGATCTTCTTCCCCGACGAAGGAAACGATAAAGATGACGAAGGAAGACACTTTCGTATCTGCTCACGGCGTACTTCGTAAGAGATATCTTATGTCTCTTTTATACTTATATGAAACCGCACAAGCTGCCGACAGTGCCACTTAATGTCCTTGTGTTACGACGTAATCGTTCTCTAAAGTCATTCGTAATTTTCTCGCTACTTTTTCATAAATTCACATTATCAACAATCCTTTTATAATCGCTTTTCTTTTTTTGTTTATTACCATTACATGTTTAAGATTTACTATTACATTTGTTAAATCGGCCCAGTTTTGTAGTTTTAAACTTGGAATTAATACATGTCAGTATTTATGTTTATTGCCTTTTCTGCTTCTCAATTCGTAGCTATTTTTTCGATTGAGTTCGATTGATTTCAATGACACTAATTCGAGATCTTTATAAATTTTTAATATGTGTCAATGCTGTTCAAGATATATTATTATTATAAATACTATTATTCTTAATTATGATAAATTTATAATAATTAAAAATAAATAAATAAATAAATATAATAATACGTAAAAAATAAAATTTTATATATATATATATGTATATTCTAAATATACACGTATATAAAAATTCATATCAATTTTAAACTAGTCTGTTCTCTGAGATTGCTTATTACGAAATAAGGAGTAAAAAAGATAACAAAATTATCGACACGTATCAATTCTAAATCTAAATTACAGCCTGGACAGCTATCTATTTTAAGTAAATGACACTAAGCTAAAAACAAATTTCTATTCGAGCGTACTGTTTTTTAGTGTAAAGCGACTGAACAACGAGAACGGCGATTGCTGAAGACAATGCGTAGAGATTATCCGAGCTTTCGAATACCAGCAACGTACAAAGACCCCTCGAGGACGTAAATAATGGCATCTAGACTGGCCGATTCGTTAGAACTAGTTCGAGCAGAACCGGATGCCATTATCTACCGCCTAGGAGTCAAATTGAATATGGTCGTAATTTTGAGTTATTCTCGTCAGCAATGAGAAACGTTAATAATCTCGGAGCATAAAGGGATCCGTTCTCGCGGATCGCGCGCGCATGTTACCCAGCTAATTTCCTATCGCCGTTCTCGCGGCATCGGAACGGAGATAGCACTGTCTTGGCACCGTACGGGTTCTTTGCCCCCGGTACGTACTCTTCGGCAGTCATAAGTTTTCTTCCGGCCGCTATGTCGAGGGCGATACAACGATACGGACACGGTCCGCCGATATAACCGAGATACAACACGATCGGTTCTGCATCGGTACGTACAATGTGCACGGGAACACGACGCAGCCGGTGCGAACCGGGGAAAAGTCTCGGGCATAAATCACGCATGCAACCCTTTTTCTATCTGACATGAGAAATGCGGGAAGAAGCTCCGGTTGAACCGACGACACGGGGACCGACGGAGCGACGGACGGAAAGGGGGGAAACTGGCCCATCTTTTACACGACGACACGTAAGTGCGTGCGCGTACATGCGACTCTACGAGGAAGCATGAAAAAAAAAAAGAAACGGACCAACCTGTGAAAGGTCGTTTGATCGATCGATCCCCGGAGCTGTGTTATATGGTACACCGCAGTTACCGTTCACGAATTGTGTCGAGAGAAACTGAAATAAAAACTTAATTGTTCCTTTTCTCAATTAAACGCGAACGATAATTTTTTTCCTTTTACATTCATAATAGAAGCGCGACAAGATCACGACGTGCTATTTATCTCACAATTCACAT